TTATGCTATTTATTGAAATAAAATATAATTTTTTCTTAAAAATTATAATTAGTATATAATTATACTATCTATTAGAATAAAATTAAAAAATTGCACAATGGGTCAAACTGTAATTGACACAATATTTTTTAACTTTAATTGGGATAATTTGATAGTTTAATTTAATCATTTAAACAATCAAATTAAATTACAATAGATAATATAATTGTATACGAACTATAATTTTTATTTTATTTCAATAAATATTATAATAGAACATGAATTTTGATTATAAAATTTAAAATATTTGATATATTCTATCTTTAATTTGAGTATTTGTGGTCTAAATATAACATTTTAAATTTAAGTGGTCTAAATATTACACATTTATAAATTTCAGGAGATTTGAGTGTAATATATTAACAGACATTAACGGCATAAATTTAAATATTACATGCGTATAAATATAAGAGAGTTTGAATATAATATTTTAAATATTAAAAAATATGAATGATTAAGTAACGGATCCCACACAGTCTGAGTTTTATTTTCCCAAAAAAGATTGTTGTTTTCTCCTCACAAAAATTGCAATCTTTTTGCATCTCTTATATATTTTTGGCTCCATCCAAACAGGTCCACCAAAGAAACAGTGATTCGATAAGGCTCAAGTGAAGCTCTGCCTTATCAAAAACATGAAAGGTCCCACTGATCTGGTTGAGTGGGCCATCAGTACGATATCAAGTGTCCCACAGACATGAAGATTTGTGATTAATCATAGAGTATATCTCTCCTACACATCAATCTTCCCCTACCACAAGATTAGGAAATACTTGTAATCGAAACTCTGGCCCACAATAAATGGCAGAGCTTGATTTGATTGCCAAGGGCAATATTAGTAGGACCCATCGCATCATTGGATGGCCTAATCACGGCTTTGATCCATCACCCACAACCGACTGAAAACAACTCAACATTAAAAAATCTACATATCAATGTTCTACTATTTCGGGAAAAAAAATCATTATTCTTAGCTATAATCAAATTAATTAAAAAAAAATGTTACATAACACAAATAAAATTTAAAAATTTAAATTCAAATACATATCATTTCATAGATGAGTGTGGAATGTGTGGACCCATTCAAAAAATTTGTGGGATGAGTGGACCCATTGAAAAAATTGAATTTCATCTAAAGGATAATATTCATTTTGGTTTTAATTTTTTGAATTTCATTTTAATCTTATAACATTACTCTTAAAAGTAAGATTCATTTAGGTTAAAAAAAATAGAAACAAGTTTAAGCAAGAATCGAATTTAATTTTTTTTGAATCTATCCTAACTTGACTCTCTAGAATTGTAATATAACAAGTTTAAGTTGTAGTTTCACGTAATTGATTCAGAATTTTGTGTATAATTATTTTTTAAGTCTTTCTTACTTTATACCCTTAAATATTAAATTTTTTATATTACACCTTCAATTTATCAAAAGTGTTTTAATTTGCCCCTTCTGTTAGCCATTATTATTTTTTTCGTTCAAAGCTAACCCACTCACACTGGCAAAAAACATTAACGCAAAACTAACAGATGAGTCACTTTGTAATACTTTAAATATTTTGAGGATACAATATAAAAAATTTAATCTTTAAGAGTGTAAAGTCTAAACCTTGAAATCTTTCGGCATGTAAAATATAATTCCCCCTATTTTTTATGAGGAAGTCAACGCTACCAAAAAAAATATATCAAAAGTTTTAATATTCGAATTATAATTTTTTAAAATATAAGTTATAACTCAAATGAACATAGTCAATTACAAATTAAAATTCTTCATGATCCATCATTTTATGATCGACATGAATAACTTCAATTAATTATAACTCCATGTTTAAAAAATATAATTGTATCTTTTATAATAATAAATTTTCATACAATACAAAAAAAAATCGGGTAAAAGCTCCAATTTATAATAAATTATGTTGGCTTGACAATAATAAAAAAAAATTTAGGAAAAATTTTAGCTACACCGCTTTTAATTTATCATATCTTAAAGGACACACTTTCTATTTTTTGAATTTTTGTTTGACATCCCTTGTCAGATTAAAGGTCTTAAGAAAAATATAATTTTAATAAATTGTCCATAATATTTTTTAAAAAAAATTCATCCATACCCCCTCTAAATAAGTATATCTTCAATGAAACCCCTCTATTTTATGAATTTTTTTTTTGTATTAAAATTCAGGTCAATTAAAATTCGATTCAAGACAATTAAAATTTATTTTTAATTGACTCGAATCAAATTTTAATCAATTCGCATTGAATTAATCGTTCAAATTTTGATACGTAAAAAACATAAAATTTTAATCAACTCAAATTTTGATACGTAAAAAAATAAATTTTAATCAACTTGAATCAAATTTTAATTTGCCTGAATTTTAATAAGTAAAAAAAATATAAATTTTAATCTATTCAAATTGAATTTTAATCGCCCATTTTTAGATCTCAAATCTGCTCAAATGTTAATATATAAAAGGGAAATTTTAACAGGTTCGAATTTTAGTGCATAAAAAAATAAAATTTACTCGGCTCGAATTGAATTTTAATTAACTCAAATTTTAATATGTAAAAAAATGAAGTTTAATCGGCTTGAATTTTAATATGTTAAAAAATAAATTTTAGTCTACTCAAATTTTATGTAAAAAAATTTATTTGGGGTTTATGTAAGAACAATTTTGATATTTTAGATAATTTTTTTTGTTAGAAATTGACGAATAATAAAGAGAATATTTTTAAAAATATGATAATCAATTAGAGACGTGATTGAAATTTTTCCAAGAATTTAAATTTAAATTTAAATTCAAATTCAAATGACGAAATAAATAAAAATACGGAATCTGAGCAGCTGTTTAACAAAATAAATACCACTGCTTGTACAAATCACAGAGTCTGGCGATTGAAGCACATGGAAGATTCGCAAATTATTTAATAAATCATTTAATAACTATGACAAGTCAACATCTCTGCACAAAAAAAAAATTCGAAAGAGTAATGCTGACGTTTCCAAAGTTTTAGATCCTCTGAAATTGGGTCAAGCACTCAAAATTCAAAACTATAAGGGTCAAAGTGTTACGATATCAAAATGCACTTTCTCCTCGATACCCTAATTTTATTTTTTGGTCCATAAAAATATGTCACTTATACATTATTTTTTAAATTTTATCTTTTTTAATCAATAATTCAGAGTATTTTTCGATCAAATGTACCATAATCTTGCCCCTAAAAATAGAGAAGATATTCAATTATTTTAGTATTGGTCGGTGAAATCAATGTGATGTTATATCTAGTACCTACCTAATATTAATATTATAGTTAAAATTTTTTATTTATATACAACAACTGTCAAAATTCTGGAGCTCGATTTGTGTTTTAAATAAACAGAGTTCAAACAATTTTTAGACTTGTTTTTAAAAAAACGAGTCTAAAAAGTTCAACTTGTTTATAGGTGAAATAGTATTAGAGCTCGGTGTATTTTTTAAACAAGTCAAATTTGAATAATTTTTTAGAATCATTTAAAAAAAACGAGTTAAACAGATTTGAGTTCAAGCTTACAAATCCCGACTTTATTTACAGCCTTAGATCCAATGGTAAAATTTCATCCCAAATTTTGATTTTTTGCTAAAAAATATCTTCTTCTTTACATGGTCCCTAATACCAATATAACCTAATTAATCCACAAAAAATAATACACAATCTAAATAAAACTCAAAAATTGTAACTCAAATGCATATTATTTATTAATAAGTGTTAAATGAGTGGGTACCACTAAAAAAATTGATGAGATCTACTCTTCTAAGAGATAATATGCATTTGAATTTCATTTGAGTTGTGTATTATTACTCTTAATCCACACCTACTTCTCACTTTATTTTTTCTCCCAATTCAATTTAATTTTAAATTACATAGTCAAAAAAAATTAATAATAAATTGTTTTTTCAAACATAAATATAAAACGATCAATATTCGATTTTTGGTATTACAAAGAATCTTCTAGTACAGGGTTATTACTAGTCAATAATATAAAAATCGAATAGACTTCAATAAACCCATTCCACTATCTCAAATAGATTTATCTAACAGCCATCAACATTTTTCTCTTAAAATCATTCACAATGAATTTTTTTCTTTTCTAAATCTATTATTTCTCATTTACGTTGTACCGTGACTTCAAGTTACCCTTACTTTACTTAGGAGTGTCAATTGCGTCATGTTCGTGTTACCCACGTGTCGTGTTATTCGTCTTATATTCATGTCAAGACCCATGAAAAACAAAATCTATTTAGTGTGTTCTGAGTATCAAATATTAATTTAGATTATTTATTACACGTATTTATAATTGTTCATGTCAACGGACGGGCGAGAGCTGACACCGGTCTTTACTACTAAATGAGATCCCAATAAATCATACGGCTAAGATTAAATCTCACGGTATAAAACCAAGACAACAATTTGAGCCAGATGCAGAGAATTGCAACCCAAGGATTACAGATAATCAGCTTTCGAATTAACTGACATACACCGTTCCAGATACGAATTGAAAAACGCCTGATGCCAAACCGACACAGAAAGTCCAAAGTCCAACACAATTCTCACATTCCAAGACTAAACTTCAAATTTCCATGCATCTAACAAAGAGAACATCAACTGACAGATGACTGGTCCACAATAACACCGAATATTAATTATCAAAAATATTACTAATAAAGAAATTCTCTTTAAAAATGAAGAAAAACTTATCAAAAATATCTAGTTGGGTTGATTTATTTGACCAAGAAAGACATGGGAGATTTTGAAAGGTAAATCAAACTTGAGCCGAGTTACGTATTTCCTGAGTTAAGTAAACACGGACCGCCTAAAAATTAAACAGGAAACATAAAAATTTCCCTCACAACATCACTAAGAAATTGTTTTTCTACTCTTTTTTTTTTTTTTTTTTAATATTTCATTCTCGAATTGAGATTTTAGTTTTCCAGAACATATTAAAAATTACAAACAGCCCCCTCTACCAATAAACTTGTTGTCAATACTTACCCCTAAAAATTAAAAATTACAAACTTGAGTGAACAAGAAGTTAAATTTTTCAGTCAATACTCCATAGATCCAAAAGCAAACATAGATATTACGCAGAGACCCACATGAAATTAGTCAAATCTCATTACTGACCATAGACTTATTCTGAAGCATGGAGTTCTTGCAATGAGCTATTGCCCCTTGAATTGCACTCTGCAGCTCCTCCATTGAAGATGCATCTGAAGAACACATACCCCCTACTCTGCTTGTACTCGCACCTGTAACACCAGTACTGCAGAGAATCCCAGAGTGACTTGGGGAAGATCTCATCGACGATGGACAGCTTGAAACATAGCCTCTCCTCCTTGGGTACCTCAAATTCCCAGAAAAAGAATGTGAAAATGTTGAATTATTGCCTTTTTTAGCATTCTGAATCTGAACAGATTGATCCTTTTCTTTCACAGATCCATCTGGTTTCATGCACAGAGAGACCTTTTCCGAAGAAACTATTCTTGTTGTTGCCATTTTTTGCTGCTGTTTTTGCGACAACTTTTCATATAAAGGCTTCACTTTCTTCATGTACTTACGTATCACCTCTTTTGCAGTGGAGCTCATGCGTTTCACAGATGAAGCTGATAAGTTTTCTGGGTCCTGGCGGTTCTTGGATTCTTTGCGAAAAACGGAGAATCTTGAGAGAGAGAAGTACTTTGTTTTCTTGATATTTTGGGGGTTTATGTGGGTTGTGCGGTGGTGGTTGTTGAGGCGTTTGAACTCGTCTTCTTCGGCAACGGAGCTGGGTCTGGAGGAGTCGCAGTCAGCGAGGAGGAGGTCAGCGGAGAAGGAGGAGTGGGAGTCGTTGGAGCTGCCGGTGGAGTCGCGGGAGGCAGTGGTGGTGGTGTCGGAAGAGGAAGAGGTGGATGAAGAAGCGAGGAGGAGAGTGCGGACCATGGAGAGGCGTGGGGAGAGGTGGAGGGGGAGGAGCTGGCCTTTGTAGAAGAGTTCGTCGGCAGGGCAGAGGGTGGTGGAGGATTTGCGAGGAGAGAGAGAGATGGTGAATTCGAAGTCGGAGGAGGAGGCGGAATGGGTTGGCGAGGACGGGAGGGTTTGGGATTTGGAGGCTTTCTCTGTTCTCCTTCCCATCTTGATGACTACATTATCAAATGAGTGGTGTTCTAGAGAGAGAGAGAGAGAGAATGGGAATTAAGAGAGGTTGAGGAAACCGATGGGTCCTTCTTATAATGGATCCATGTTGATTGAGAGAGAGAGAGAAGTTGGAGAGGTGGGTTTTGATGTTAATGAGGAGACAGAAATGGGGGGTGCATAATTTTTTTTTTTCATATCAATTAAATATTTTTTTTTAAATTTTCTTTCATAAAACTCATGTATTTGTAAAAATTAATTCTAATTGTGCCACCTAAATGTGTAAAAAAGTTAAGTGTGTAACATTGTTGTTAATTTCAATTATATCATTGAATTTTTTTAAATATCACATCATTAAATAGATTTTACATACTAATAATTTTACTTTGTAAAAATTAGCATATATATATATATATATTAAATCTCACTTAATTTATTAGATTGCTTAATCTTTGAATAAATAGGAAAAAAATATTCATTAGAAAAAATGTAAATATATTTTTGGTGCATTCTTGAGCATGAACATGTGAATGCTAGAATTAGGGAAACAGATCTTAGTTGTCAAATTAAATAAGAACATAGGTTAACTCCATTCGAAATGTTATACAACTAAATTGAGAAAAAAATTAAAATCCAAAAAAAAAAATAATAATTCAATTGAACCTATATTAATATTAGTTATTTGCGAAAGGAATTAATTACAATGCTACACATAATTCCAAAAAAAATTATTATTTTGAAATAATTAGCTAACTTAATTTGTTAATATAATACATCACAGTTATTGAATTGGTTACAAATCTCAATCAATTATAAGGCTCAATCTCTATTCAACGACAGTAATTTACTAAATTAATAAATTGTATTAACAAATTAAACTTAAAATAATATAAAAGAATGTTAAAACTTAAGGATAACAATCGTATCGTGTTGTGTCATTTTGGGTTCATGTCAAGTATTAAACAATCATAAACCAATCCGTTTAACTAATTGTGTCGTACTAATTGTGTCGTATTCATGTACATTCATATAACCCATGAATAAAAAATTTAATATTCAATTTTATGTCAAAAATTTTCTTATCACTTAATCGAACTTATTATCATAATTTTTTCTATAAACTAAAAATTAAATTAATAAATATAAAATGAGTAAAAATATTTTTTTATATAAGAAAATTAGGTTACTATTTAATAAAATTTAATAAAAAATTAACATTTTATTTTTATAATATTACTTAAACGTGTGTATCATGTCAGTTTCGTGTTTGACACTAACGGAATTGATTTATTCTTTGTGTTAATAGGTCGTGTCATACACGAGTTCACGTCGAAAAATAATTTATAATAAAATTTTAATTTAATATCAATTTTGAAATATATTTTCATATTATATCACAAATGGTGAGGTAAAAAACACGTTGGAGAGAGTATTGTGTAGGTTTTAAAGAGCGGAGCGTGTTAATTAGGTCAATATCTGAGCGTGAAATTAGGCATTAATGGCGAGCTTCAGTCGTTATATCCATCCGAATACAGAGTTGTCACATGGGACTTGGAAACGTCTCTTTCTTCTCATCTGTTTCTTTGCTGTGGTTGTCCTCACACCTCATGCAACCATGTGTTATGAGTACATCTATACAGGTGTCACGTGCTTAAAACGTGTAGGTGGAATAGGCCTTGGTGAGATATATATATATTGGCGATACTCCGTGACTAAAGTTATTATACATTAAATTAGTATATTGTATATGCATTAGAATGTGTGTTAACTATTAGAGTGCGTGTATGTATGTGCAACTGAGTGTTGTAGAGTGTGTTAGATGTGTAGAATTTGGGGGAAAAATATATTTTCCATAAGTTCAAACTCTCATATATTTTATTATATAAATATAAACTATTGAGATATATATATATATATATATATATATACATGAGAGTTTTTTTTTAATTTTTTTAAATATGTCGTATATATCCGTTTCTTTCTCAAAATTAAGTTACGAGGTAACTTTTATTTTATTTATCCGTCAAGTTCTTTAATACAAAGGAGTTGATTTTAATGAGTTCAGATTCTCAATTTCTTGGCAAAGAAGTTAGGACTACAAGCATGAGGAGTTTTTCCGAATTCGTGAAGAGAAATTCATTGGTAAATTTTACCTCAAAATGGGTCAACATTCAGTTGTACAAACAACTAAGAATACTCTTCTCTTTCTAAATTGGGCTTGTTCCAACTTTCTTTGATGTTTTATGTAGTCATCTTGCCAATTTACAACAATATGCACATATATATTTGTAAATATACGAAAAATTATTATTTATACTGATTTTAATTTTTTTTAAATTAGTGACAGATATGATTTCAATGAGTCATAACTTGTAGAATGCTATAAAAAAAATAACTTTTAATATTATAGACTTTCTTACACATATTATGTATAATATACGTATATATAGCTGTAACATACTTTCCCTTTCCCTTTACCATACTATATATATATATATATACTCAAAGGAAAAGTATGGTAACTAGTATGATTAGTGTGGTCATCTGGTATCAAAGTGGTTGAATCAATGACAAAAGTAATGTTTAAACATGTCTGTCAATGATAAGGTGCTGTTTGTACAGCTGTTTTGATCTCAAAAGGGTGTGGTGGTGAAATCTTAATACTGACTAGAGATATATCAATCATTGATTCATATTATAAAGTAAATTGCATATTCCCCACCATTACTCATGGCCACATTATATTTGGTTTTAAGGACCGATTCAAATGGTAATAAAAATAAATAATAAATTTAAGCTAAGAGAGTTTGAATTTTGGTAATTTCTTGATGTCAGATTATGAGAAATTTATCGTTCATGAATATTCTAGTCTCAGCATGGATAATCTATCTTTGACCAAATCGGAAAAATATTAGTAACGGTGCGCATAAATTGACCCGAACACTCTTGTCTGTTAACAAAATTTTGTGTTGTATGAGTATCACCAAGGATGGTTTTTTTTTTTTTTTTGAGGGGGAATTAAGTCGCTCTCTTAAGACGATTCGTACATTTTTATGAAAGAATCACAGTGCAGAAGACAGTAACGTGTCGTCCCAGGATACACCAGTCTAGACTATTAGCTACTGCTTCACTCAAATCTGCACAATCGAATAAAGCAGAAACTTCACACACACCTTTGAATATTGCCCAAAAACTTATATAGTAAGAAGACAGTTAGTATCAGATTATGTCTCTTTATACTGAAAATATGTGTGTATATATATACAAATAATATATGTGTTTATTAGGCTGTAATTACTTCTATATTTAATTGAATAATAACTTAAAAAATTTGGTTGTTGAAATACTAGCCGTTGGAGATTTTGGGTATTCAACAACTGAAATTTTAATATAGAATTAATGGCAAAAAATAATTAAACAAAATATTAAAAAGTGGGTTTAATATTTTATTTCATTTAGGCGAGCTAGGGGGACCCACTACTCGGGTCGTTTCTCCTCCGCTAGTCCCACCCCTGTGCACGTGAGAGTCTCAAAAGCTCAATTTAATTCAAAAACTAGATAACACTAGTGTGTGTGTGTGTGTGTGTTTATATATATATATATATACTCAAGTACTTTTGGATATTTAGTCGATACAAAATTGAATTTCTACACATAAAAAAAATATTTTTTTAGTTAAAATATTCTAACAAGAAGTCTACATAAAATCGAACTTTTTACCCTTTTTTTTTATTCAAATTTAAGTAAGGGTTTGAATTTCTATTAGAGATAGTCGGCCAACGATTATTTGTGAAGTGATTTGCATTTTTTTATTTTTGATCAAAAACACACAAGTTAATTATTTCATTAAGTAAGAAAATTTTGATTACAATCAGACAAAAGGAAAGAAAAACCATAAACTCGGGAGGCTTAAGTGATTCGTATAACTCTATAGAATTTGTGAACTATTTCCTTTAATGGTATCAAAGTTTTAACATAAAGTATGACCTTTGGTTTAAGCATAATAAGTGACTGTGATTTATATAAATTTTATTGAATTGAGTTAATAATTATCAAGAATTTCACTTTTGCACACGAGAAAGACTAATGTATCGAACTAGGTATCACATCAAAATTCATAACTTTTTAAAGTTAAGTTATAATTCTGTGAAATAAAAATTACGATTGCAAAAATTATTATCGATCTTAATAAAATATTATAATTGATAATAAAATTACAATTGATTAAGAGTTATTCATAATATTACTAAAATTGATCATAAATTACATCAAATAATTATAATTTTACCTTTAAAGTATAAAATTTAAACTAAAAAAAAATAATTTTGCGTACGATAGTAATAGTTTTTTCCACTAGTGGGAACGTAGAATTACCCTTTCTCACATGCATGAAAATGGGTCAACGCCAACAGTTTTACAGTTCTGCAGATGTACTATCCTCGAGATTGTTTTACTTCTATCAGCCAGAAGATGACATTTTAGGGAACGGTTAGATTCGTGATATCCAAGGGCTGGTGCCATCTGCCACAGCACAACAGGTACTACTATCATATTAATTTTGTATTAAGAAAGTCTGCAACATATGATAATTTTAAATAGGATTTTCCTTAAATTCAGTTTGTTTAAGGATATATATATATATATATACACAATAGTAGTCTTGAACTTGGGAAACTCAACATTAATCAAATGTACAACCAGCTGTAATGTTGGCGTAATTACATTTACCAAATCATGGTCTAACCATGTAGGATTGCTACATATTATATTACCTATTGCTTAATGATCATATCACTATTTTTTGTGTAGCATGTGCGCGTGTGCCATTTGTTAGATTAACTGATTAATCTTTTTGGACACATGTAATCTCCCGTAACTCATCGTTGAACATTTTAGATTTAACCTAGAAAAACTTAACATTGATCTCGTTCAAAAGCAACAATGTAAACGTACTCAAATTTTCCAAAACATGGTTTAATCGTGTAGATTGTTACATTTTGTTCACAAAATTTAGAATA